AAACCTGTTTTCATAGTGTTGTCACTTCTCAGGAAACCCGTTTTCATAGAGTTGTCACTTCTCAGGAAACCTGTTTTCATAGTGTTGTCACTTCTCAGGAAACCCGTTTTCATAGTGTTGTCACTTCTCAGGAAAGCTGCTTTCATAGAGTTGTCACTTCTCAGGAAACCTGTTTTCATAGAGTTGTCACTTCTCAGGAAACCTGTTTTCATAGTGTTGTCACTTCTCAGGAAACCCGTTTTCATAGTGTTGTCACTTCTCAGGAAAGCTGCTTTCATAGTGTTGTCACTTCTCAGGAAACCCGTTTTCATAGTATTGTCACTTCTCAGGAAACCCGCTTTCATAGAGTTGTCACTTCTCAGGAAACCCGCTTTCATAGTGTTGTCACTTCTCAGGAAACCCGTTTTCATAGTAGTTGTCACTTCTCAGGAAACCCGCTTTCATAGAGTCATCACTTCTCAGGAAACCCGCTTTCATAGAGTTGTTACTTCTCAGGAAACTGCTTTCATAGAGTTTTCATTTCTCAGGAATTGTCAGGTAAAGATGAAAGTTTAATTCTTACAACCTATTAATTTCTACATTAAGAGAAAATATAAAATAATGTAGAGAAATTTGTCTGTTCATCTTAGTTTCTATTCTCCATCTCTGGAAGACAAGGAAGAATAACCCTAGAGTACTCTTATATCTCATAAACACTGAGAAGTAGACATAAGTTGAAGATATTTTTTCTGATTGATTTTATTTGTTCATTTGAGATAGTTGCAGAAAAAAAAAACACCACTCTGGATTAACAAATTTACTGCAGTAAATCAGTAATTGAGAAATATTATTATAATTAAATACAAGTGTATTCTACGTATGAACTGGTAATTTACAAATGGATTAGACCAGTTGTTCAGAAATGTGTTAATTGTATAACAGTTTGGCAGATGTTTGCTCCTGTTTTCTGTCAAAAATAAATAAAAACAAGTACGTTTTAGGTCAAAACACGTGAAACTAATTTCTGCCACTTTATTTTCTTATGTAGGTACGACAGAATGAGTTTACATTTCGTTGTTGTAACCCAGATCTTCACAAGCACCCTTCTGGAAGACACGAGGTAAAATTCTTCTAGTTTTTTTATTATAAACTTATTGTAAACCTTTATTTCAAAATATTGTCACAACTTTTATTGGAAGTATGTATATTTGATAGAGACACTGCATGGAAATGGAGATTTGTTTAATAAGGTATAAAAATATTCATTTCTATTAGTCACATTCTTCTTTGTCTTAGTAAGTTTTAAAAGGGGGATATTGTTAAATGGAAACAGTAATTATGTAGTAAAATAGAGGTCTAATACCAGATGATCTGTGAAAACTATAAAAAACAACAACAACTGAAGCTCACTGATTTACTTTCTTTTATTTTTTAAATCAGTTTTCTAGCTTTTCGGTTAGTTTATAAACTTTGAAAATGGTTTTAGATCAACACATGCGTATAATTTGAATCATGCATCTATACTTAAATGAAATGATTACTCACTCCTGCTATAAAGTGATTAAAGAAATTCAATATCATGTGACGTGTGGAGTTAAAATAAAATGAAGAGGTTCATCATCAAAAATGTTACAAGAAATACCGTTCTAGTGCTGCAGTCATCTTGCTGAAAGTGAAAACAAAATGATCCTTATCACTGGAGGCATATCTTCCTGAGGAAAACGTTACTTCTTTTTGTATTTGTCTATAAAATATGTTAAAATCTGTTTCTTACTGTTTACCATTATTAGGATGCTCAGTGATGTTGTTATGTTCTAAAAGATGCGTAAGTTAGATGTCTTAAAGGACAGAGTTTTATCTGGAATTTAATTTAGTTTTTATTCTCAGGATTTACTGTTGGCTTGGTTACGAGAAGAATCTTCAGCTCCTCTTGGCAGTTTTCACCTGTTTCCACACACCCAAGAACTGTTGATGATGAAATTCCTCATTTTAAGACAGTTTAAGTAAGTCTTACAAAAGCCTGAAGAGATGCATACAGAATATCAAGAGTACACATATATTTCAACTTATACATACATAATCTTAGTTTAAGGGTAAGTCATTTTGACAACTTACAGTTGACGAACACAACTGTTAAATGAATGGAAGAATAACTGTTTTATTGAATATTAGTAAATGTGAATCTAACAAACATTCTAATATGATAATCTTTATTTTCTTTCATATATAATGTAAACATAATTTTAGTTGATATCTTACAGGTACTTTGAGTGCAAGTGTAATCAATACACAATAAAAAAATTGCTAAAAATTAAGCAGTCTTTTTTATCTGTGATAGTTTTAACTACCAGTACTGTCGTATCCATGCTCCGAAAGTGTCGACACAAGTTCCTATTAAGCCAGGAATCTTTAAAGGTACATATGGGGCTCATGGAGTAGAACTGATCATGCTTTCTTATGAAGAACATTTAGGAAAGGCTAAAGCAGTTAAGATAACTGTAAGTAGCTAATGTTTCTGAGATTCATATTTAATTTTTGTGAAAATTAGAGGATTTTAAAGTGTTGACTATTAAAAAATATGTTTACTTCTTAAGTTACCAACTTCTTTTTATACTGGTGGTACCTGCATATTGTATCATACTAAGTAATTTTATGTTTTTTTACCTCTTACAACAATGAGTTCAAAGAACTGACAAAAAAAGGTTTGGATTAAATCATTCATTTTCTGTGTACAGTAGTAATTAGTGGTATTAACTGCAATACTGATGGTATATTTGTTTAAATTTATGTGACATGTTACTATTGACCCTGTGAACAAGTCATGGACTCACAAATCATTTGATGCATATATATACACACATACTTATATATAATTTATAACAAATTTTTTACAAAACTTGTGGAGTCCAGCTGGACCTCATCGGTAACTCTATGGCAAAAATAATTATATGTTAAAGATTATTGATCCTAGGAGAACTAAATTTCATGTTATGAATGAGCTTTTCATCCAGGAAAGTTTGGAACATGGCAAAGATGTTTCAAAAACTGTTCAACAATGTTTATGATCTCAGTCGACAGATGCAGTCTCTCCCATAATGAAGTTACTGCTTACATCATTTGATTTGTAACGGTTTCTTTAATCTACATAACATTCTTTCTGCTTCCAGAAAGAATAAAAGGAATGTTAGTTTGTGAGAACAGCAGTCCAGAAGTGTAGTGTAATATGGTTTTGAAACACCTTCTACCATGAGCAAACTTTGAGGAGTAAAATTTGTTATCCTCATTATATCTTTGGTGATATTTTGTTCTCCTACAACAAGTAGATTGTAGCTATGGAGATTTTGTTATAATTACTATGTATATATATATATATTATTTTATTAGGGTGATCCTAATGTTCCTGCTGGTAAGGTTAGCTTTCAAGTTGATTTAAACTACTGGATGATACTGACAGTAAGTCAACAGTACACTGTCGGGGATTTAGAAGCAATAATTCCTTGTTCAATACGTAGTGAGGAAGTTACCAAAAGACCGTTAAGTCAACCCTTCCGTGTTCCCCGCAACTGCCACCAACGTTATCACGAGGTGCCAGATATGTGCACAGCTAGGTGGGTGCTATGATGGAATAAGAAAAGTTAACATTAGAGGTTCCATTTGAATTTAAAATTATTTTCTGGAAACGTACAAAATATACCAAGTTACTTACTTAGTAATAACATTAAAGTATTTTAGTAGGCATAACTTTGTATATTATTATTTTTCATATTAAGTCTATTAAGAGCAATCAGGCTCTTTTGGTATTATTTTTCATGTTAAGCCTATCAAAAGAAAGAGTAATATATTTTAATATACTGGTCAAATCTGTAATTTAATACGATGAGTAAATTTCAAGTTGCCTATAGGCATAATTTTTTGTATTATCATTTTTCATAGCATAGTCTTTTGGTATTATTTTTCATGTTAAGCCTGTCAGGAGAAAGTGTAATATATTTTAATATACTGGTCAAATCTAATTTGAATGTGATGAATAAATTTCAAGTTGCCTATAGGCATAATTTTTTGTATTATTATTTTTCACACTAGGCCTATAAAAAGAGAGAGTAGTTTTTGTATTGTTTTTCATATTAAGTCTAGAATTTATTATCTTTCTGTCTCTTTTAAAATCACATTATTACATTTAGTGTAATTATAGCAAAACCATTTAAACATGGATAACATTTTTTCAGGTATCACGGACTTGGCCAGGTAGCAGCTCATGGGTTTGCTAACCCATCCTTTATTCCGGGTCATTGGATCATATTTAATGAGGATTTGTTTGGTTTTCTTTGGCTAGAGCTAATGACACTGGGTGTATATCACAGAGTACAGGAAGACCTTAGCTAATTGAAAATCAGTACTTTTACTGTAGAATGTAAAATACTGTTTGAAAATTGTACTAAAATTCAGTGTTTCTTGTATATTTCATAGTAATCGTGCAGTTTAAAAAAAAAGGTGGTATAAAGTATTTGTTGTGTTTCAGATTAACGAAGCTTGCTGTCGATCATGTCTAAGCACAATTATGTAGAAGATAAGTAGTTAAGACTGTGATATATAGATTTTGTTTAATTCTTGTGGGATGACGTTTGAAATTTTTTTAAAACCCCATTTTTTCCTCCAAGTGCTATTAAACTTGACTTTGATGCACTGGGCGAACAAGTGGTCCACATGTTGGCTGCTTGTTCTGTATTCATTCACCGTTTCTGGTATTGGTTCACATACTTAATAATATCATTAAAAGCCAATAGACCACTAAGTATCTAAAAATGTATTTTTTTAACCTTGTGTTTTTTTTAGACACATTTTCCAAATTATGGACCAGATTGCTTGTGAGTACAGGGTCCCTAACAACATACATGTTGTAAAAAAAACTTAAAAAAAATGCCATCGTTATTGCAGGTAATCCCACTTATCACTTTTAGGGTTCTTTTTTGTATCTTACATACCAAAATGAATGATTTCAATAAATCTTTTGGTCGACTATGCATTAAATGTCGTAACAAGTTAAACCTAAAAGTATTTAATACTATGCAGTATGTGATCCCACTGGTAGTGAACGATATAAAAACAATTCAGTAATTTGAGGGGTAACGTTGTGCCAAATAAACGATTTCTTTTGGTAGGGGGGAGGGAGGACATTTTCTGCAGAATGACTTGGTTTAGCAGTACTTATGTTTAAACTGGTGGTATTGTGAGTTAAGCAGGTGGGAATCACTTAATAATCATGCAAAAACTGTGCCTTTTTTTTCTTCCTTGTACAAAATGTATTCGTTTTTGTTTTTAATGTTTAAAAACACGTGCATTGTTTTGTTATGGAAGTTAAAACTATGAAGAACGGGGCTGCTTCTTTAGTAAGAAAAACGTTTTTTTTTTGTTGGAGGCATAATATTATTTATTATTTAGATTCTGTGGGAGTCATAATGAATGATCTTACTTCACGATTTTATACTACGAGATCTTACGATAGGCCGTGAAACACCGAAATATAACGTTAAAGAAAAGCTGATCAGTTAAGCCTTGAAGTAAAAGTAAACTTATATTCTGCAGGGTTGCTTTTTTACTTGTGTATTTTATTATCAGTTTAAATCTTATTCGAAATACAGCTCACCGATTTCACTCTGTATAGTTGGGGACAAAATATCTTGTACATTTAAATAGGAGGTTAAACTGTTTACAGGATGCAGAGCTGTAGCCAGTCATTATTTCGCTCTGGGGAAGTTTCGGGAATTGCGCCCCTTCTTTTCCTTCGTGGCCTCTGCACGTCAGTCGATCTGCGGAGGTTTCGTATAGTGTATTGGTCTTTAGGCCTACTTACCCTTTCCAAAGCACACATCATTTCACGAGTGTTTTCATAACATAGGATAGTTAATAAATATAATTTAAAGATAATTACTAGAACATACATGAATTACCGAATAAATCTCAGTTTTTACTTTACTTTATAGCAATGAAAGATACAGTAAAAACCCAATTACCCTCTCGAACGTATTTCCTGTAATGTTTGGTAGCCAGCAGAATTAGATTTCTCGAGCCTTATTTATCCTTTTCTAAACAACATATAGATATTACGAAAGAAACATGTAGCTAAATGAGGTGGTAAATACCACAACAATATAAAATATAAAAATAATTATGATATGAGACGGCGTAGTTGAACAATAAGGAGTGCAGGCGGGAACTTAATACCATACCGTACTAAATAGAGCAAGATATCTTGCTTAATTCGGATAATAAGTTCAAATGATAAGTCTTCTATTTTACCTCCAGTCTGTATAGTTTTGCATAAGTTATAGAATAACAAGCTTAGCACTCGGACTGCGCCCCCTTCTGGCTGCGTCCTGGGCAACTGCCCCTCCCGCCATACCCTAGCAGCAACTCTGGCAGGATGGGAATGAAACAGTAAGTGGAATATAATTTTTTAATCGGAAATATGTGAATATCTGTTAGTTGTAAGTGTTTTTTGGCATCCTGTAAAGATTATGTGAAACATTAATAAATAATTATTGTTCACGTTTGTACTAAAGACTAGTTATTTTTCGTTCATTTATAAAGTTCTGAAGCCTAGAATACTACTTTCACGATGACATTAAGCCTAGAATATTACTTTCATGAACTATTGAACTAGTGACAATTTCTTCACAAATACTTGAGACCCGTTTAACAAACTTGGTATATATTTTCTGAGGATCCAAAAGTCTGGATATATTATTTTTCACCCTAATCCTATCAAGAGAAGGAGAGAGTAATTTATATATTTTTTTTCATATTAAGCATGTCAAGAGAGAGAGCGTATTTTTGTATTATTATTTTTCACACTAACCCTATCAAGAGAGAGCGAAGTTTTTTTTTTTTTTTTAGAGGTTTACATATTAACAAAGAATACTGGAAAACATATATTTTCATAACAATTAGTCTGCAAGTTTAGTGGGTGGACTACAGAGGGGCGACATGGTTTCCGGTATATAT